TTAATAAATAATAAAGTAAATAATAATTATGTTATAATGAAGTACGAAAATAAAAGATAGTCAAATAATTATTATTAGATAATGATTAAAAGAGAAGTAAGAGAGATAGTAACAATACAAGCCACATAAAGCTAATGGCAAAACACGAAAGGAAGAACAACACGAAAATAAAACAACAAAAGACAACTGAAATTACAGTTTAAGAAAAGGGCATTGAGACCAGTTTGCCCATACTAACTCCTTCCTTTTACCCCTGTTTTTCACCCAAAGAAAAGTCATAGATTTGACAATATCTATGACTTTATCGGGTGACAGCCGGTTTTTCTTGAACACTCTATCGTTTCTTGCTTTCCAAATAGACCATAGCATACAGTAATAAATGGCCATAAAAATCCTCTTTCTTTTTAAACATGACCCCACTTGGCAGCAAACTCTAGAATGTGATTCACCTTATGAAAACTTCCAGCTTGCACCCTGCACCATCTCAATATCCCCTCTGTGACCATCGTTGCATAAGAGCATGCCACAAGAGTATGGTCTGGACATTCTTCTATCTCCTCACACATTCGACATGTCAATGTTTCCACAATTACCCCTCTTTTTGACAGTTCATTTGCGGTTGGAATTCTGCCCGCTTGCGCCCTCCAAATGAAACATGATACTTTCAGTGGTATTTCTTTAAGCCAATGAAAATTAGAGTTAATGATAGGGGACCTATAATCCCATTTTTTCCTCATGGCACACACTGTATATGAGTCATCCGGTGTTAAGCCACATTTCCAGATTTCACTTGTGGGACCTTGTTGCTTGGAAATCACTGAACAAACAGAGATGTTTTTTTTCATGAGATCATTCTTTATACCGGCAATATTGTTCCATACCCCGGGTAAAGTCTTCATCGAGTAACAGTCATCAGGTTTGGAACGGAGGTTGTGCACGCTATAGATGATCGTTGCCCATAATTGTCCAGGTTTAGTTCTAAGCTTCCACCACCACTTCATAATGAGGGATATGTTCAGAGCCTTTATTGTGCTAACGCCAAGGCCACCCGAGTCTTTAGAAGCTGCCACTTTGTCCCATAAAATCCAATGAATAACCTTCCTATCATTTGATCCACCCCAAAGGAATCTATTCCTCAACCTTTCAAGTGTCTCGATGACGCCCTCTGGAGCCACAAATAAAGATAAATAATAAGTTGGGAGGTTTCCTAGGACTGATTGGATGAGGGTCAGTCTGCCGCTGAAGGATATATTTTTGGATTTCCACTTTGAAAGTTTTTCTTTGAATCTGTCAATGATCGGTTTCCAATGTTTCTTCAACTTCATATTGGCACCAACCGGGACACCAAGATATGTAAAAGGAATGGAGGATGGTTCACAGCCGAGAGGTCTCGCCCAATTTGTCACCTCATGTGTGTCAACACCAATTTCAAATACTCTAGATTTATTGAAGTTGAATCTGAACCCCGATGCAACGTGGAAGCAGTGTAAGATGTGTGATAGGTTATTTATGTTTTGTTTCGACCACTCCCCCAAGAAAAGGGCATCATCCGCGTATAGCAAATGGGAGAGTGTTGGCCCCTCATTTGGAAAATTAATCTCATGGAAAATGCCTAGCTCACACGCCGACTTCATCGCTATACTAAGTCCCTCCATGGCTATAATGAACAGGAACGGTGAGAGTGGATCCCCTTGTTTGACACCTTTGGATATCGAGAATTCTTCGGTTGGGCAGCCGTTTACAAGTACTGAGGACTTGGAGGAAATAGGACATCCTTTTAACCACATTCTCATTTTGTTACCGAATCCCATGTTCACTAGATTTGAGTCAAGGAAATCCCAGTTTAGTGAATCAAAGGCTTTATCGAAATCAACCTTGAAAAGAAGTATCTTATGTTTATTCTTTTTTGCCCATGAGCAAATTTCATTCACAACCAAGGGCCCTTCCAATATATTCCGACATTCAATATAAGCTGATTGTGCCTCATCAATGCACTTCCCCAAGACATTCTTCAATCTTAGCGAAAGAATTTTCGAGATGATTTTATAGACGCAGCCAATAAGACTGATCAGTCTATAGTCACTAATTAGAAGGGGATCCTTGACTTTAGGAACCAACAATATGAAGGAAGAGTTACATGACGAGTCGATATTCTCATATCTCTCGAAATATTTAACAATCGCTGCAATGTCTCCCAAGAGAACCTCCCAATATTTTTTAATAAATTTAAACGTGAAACCGTCAGGCCCCTGTGCCTTTTCATTACCACACGCCCACAATGCATTCTTAATTTCACACAGGGAAATAGGAGATTCCAAATGTTGCATTTCCTCGCTATAAATTTTCTTGAAGCGGTGGTTGTTTAGTTTCGGCCTGACAGGGTACTTTTCTTTGTATTTTTCAGAGAAAAATGAATAAACCTTCTGTTTTATAGCTTTTGGATCCGTACACCATTCCCCATTGATCAGCAGACCATCTATCATATTCTTACGGTTGTTTTTATTTATATGTGCGTGAAAAAACCTCGTGTTTTCGTCCCCATCAATTGCCCACTTGATCCTGGATTTTTGTCTAAGATCAAGGGCCTTGAGTTTTTCCAGCTCAACTATTGATTTATACCCCGAACTACTAGCCTTGATCTCATCCTAAGTTAATTGTCTTGTCTCCGCCGCCATATCAAGATGGTCCATCAGCTTCTTGTGTCGAGACAGTTCAACTTCCTCTTTAGGATGGGCAGATGCTCTCCATTCTTTCAATCCTTTCTTGACATGCTTGAGTTTAGCATCTATGTACAAGTCAGGAGTACCAAAATCAATGAATTTATTCCAACAGGATATGAATGCCTTTTCAAAATCATCCCTCAACAACCAGGAGTTAAAAAATCTAAATGGGCAAGGACCAAAATCTCTATGAGTGGATGACAACAGAATAGGACAGTGATCCAAAATTTCTCTTGGGAGAGCAGTAACTGAGACATTAAGAATAAGATTTAAAAATCTTGGGCAAACCAGGAATCGATCAAGCTTACTAAGTTTGAGGTCTTAATTACGAAAGCATGTGAAGCGATGACCCCCCATTTTCAGATCAATGAGGCCTGTTTCATGTATGAAGTTATTGAATTCCCTAGCAGCTCTTAGACAGAAGACTGAATTTAACCTCTCCTCACTCCTTCTTACCACATTAAAGTCGCCTATCATAATCCAAATTCCTGTCTTAGAGTTTTTTAAGCCGATTAATTCTTTCCACAATGCATCTTTCTCAAGAATCGATTGAGGCCCATAAATATTAGCAAAAATCACATTCTCACTAATACCCCTCCATGTATCAATGTTGATTAAGTAATGTCTAGATGAAATAACCTCAAACGAATTAAACAAGTTCGTGTCCCACAAGTTCAACAAACCCCCATACCTTCCCGATGAATTGACACGACTGTCTCTAAAATTTTCTGCACCCCAACAAGCTTGAACATCGATATTTTCTGCCTCAAGTAACTATGTTTCTTGAATTGCTAAGAAGGAGATTCTATACTTTGATTTCAAATTTCGAATCTAATCCACCTTGTATTTCTCCCCTATTCCCCTTATGTTGATGGATAGAAAATTCATTTAGAAGTTCTTGTCTCACCCGATACTCCTAGGATTCCTGCCAACAGTTCGTTGTTGGCGTCGATCTCGAATCCAAGCATAGCACCAATTTCAGCAGTTGCTTCGATTTCGCTGATTTGGAGAGGTTTTATTAGTCGCTAGAGGTTGATCGAGGGAAGAGATTGGTACCATCTCAGGCCGATGAGAGTCAAGCACTGATGCGTTTCCATTTTCATCGCTGAATAAAGCTTGAACAGGGTAACACGATAAGTCTTTTGTCGGGAGAGAGAACTTGAGAAAATCGTCTTTTTTTTACGAACGCCCATTGTTGATACCTTTCAATTGGGATGTTTGAAAAATGGGGGAAGGGGTCTGCCTGTTGTATGTAAAAGGTCCAAAACAACCCGACTGGGCTAATCTGGAAGGAAAGGAGGTGGACGAGGTGGGCCTTGGGGAGCCCAGCAACGGATTATCCATTTTACAATCAACAGGTATGACCAAGTCAACTATGCCCCGATCGAATTCCTTAGGCTTATCTCCACGTGCTTCATTATCATCAATTGACTCAGTATCAGTGGGAATCAGAACCGTTTTCTCTTCATTGAAATGAGTATGCGCCTTTTCGGATTCCAAGATCGTCGGGGGCGCTTGGGGCGGGACTGATGTTGCGTACGGGTCATCGGAGGTGGCTTCTTCTCTGAAGATCCCACAACACTTGTTTCCGTTGCTTTTCCTATTCATATCTCCGACTATTTCACCATCTTCAATGTCATCCATCCACGTATCTGAAATACCCTCTTCCTCTTCTTCAGAACCATTCACGCCATCGTCTTTGTCAGATTCAGCGACTTCCGTGTCCCCATCAGAATTATCTTCAGGTTCAGATTGATACGGTTGATCAACATCATCGAACTTGAAGGGAAACCACGGTTCATCTTCATACTCAACCACATCAATGTCAAACGTTTCCTCCCAAACTTCAACCTTAATAACTTCATTGATCTTTTTCTTTTCTTCCGTAAGGATGCCGATTTTTACTACTGAGAGATCCAATCTATCCGCAATATGATCAAACGGTATAATTATCTTCCCAAACTTCTTAACAATGGCAGAGAAATTTGATTCACTCCATAATCTTATAGGCAATCCAACTATTCTTACATTTGCAACGCGATCAAATTTGTAATCATTCTCTCCACCAAGCTTAATAAAGCTGAATATACCCTTCCAATTTTTTTCGTTCTTCAAGAAATCCTTAGCTTTAGCATATGATCCAAATTCGAGAATGGCCTTCATACCTCCCGCGTATTTGACCTTCATATCCATGTCACAATGGATAGAGAGCAATGCCGGAAGATGTCCGAGATGGTCTTATGATTTCACCTTGCCGATGAGAGTGAACCCATTAATCCATCACACCATCTTTTCGTTAGTAACTAGACGAACAGGCGCAAGGTTGGGTGGTAAGTTTTTTGAGAGGATTTTGACTTTTTCACCACCTCTAACAGCTTCTGCGTATGATCTATCACCCGTGAATCCACCTCTAACGTTGACTGGGATCGGCACATGAGTACGACTCCATCTTCTCACCACACTGGGTGGCAGCGATTTCTCTGTCCTTTCATGCCTCGCTATATTTATCTCCAGCTTATCGTTCCTGCATATTGTACCATTCAGTTTTGATTCTGGTATCTTTTTATCAATGACTCCCTCAAATCAAATGAAGCCAAAATTCTTCCGATTTTTTCCTTTTCTTCCTCCAAAGTAGATATCTGACAGCGTCCCAAATGTCTTGAATATTCTCCTAAACTCTTCTTTCGTCGCACCATTGGGGATGTTGGAGACGAAATAGCCTGTTATGTCAGAATCGTTCTGACGATTCACTGGTTTTTTTCGGTTCCGTACCTCCGTCCATCCGTCTTCCATGGAAAAGTTAATAAAATTAGATAGGTATGTCATAAAATAGGATATCTTTAATGTAGGATTGTGTGTTTTTAGTAGGACCCAACTACTAAAGTAGATTTAATCTTAATGACAACCGAACTAGAAGGTATATATATATATATATATATATATATATATATATATATATATATATATATATATATATACCTTAATAAACATTTAGCCTTAAATGCTGAATTTTAAGAGGTACAAGTCCTTATGCAATTTATTCAATAAATTTATGCAATAAAATCTTATTAATTCATCTGCCGAGTCAATGCTCAACTCCAATTGAATCGGTCAAAGGCCCGACTTCCCCCTTTTATCTTCGTCACCACCGTTCAGCACCGCTATCTCCATCTCGCATAGATCTTTAAATTATGGTTCTGAAACCCTTAATGGTGTATGTTGAGTCGTCTCATATAGGTTTCATGAATCAATGTTAATTCGATTATTCCAATCGAATATTCCAACTCCGCTTTCTCCGTCTCCAACTTCAGACACTCAATCACTATGGAATTCAAAATGGTATCAAAAAAATCCCACCCCACAATCTTTCTCCGAATTGGGTACAGGAGAACCCACCTAACATACCCTTCTTCGTTTCTCTCTTTGGGTTGCGAACTCTGGCGCTCTCAAGTCTCACCATCGGAACATTCATCACGAACCGTCGCTGTCGCCACCACAATTGAATTGTGAACCGGTAAGAATCATCTTATCGTTCCTCTTACATATTTGGATTTAAAAGTTGTACCTCTAAAACCCTAAACCATCTTATCGTGTTCATCGGCAACTTTCTTTATTTTTTTGCAAAAAAATGGGATCTTATGACTAAAAGCTCCAACAAGGTATTTTTTTCATCAAATCTTGCAGGAACTATAAGCCAGAACCCACCGAAAATGAAAAGGTAAACATCTAAATACTTTGAGGTACTTTTTGCTAATAATTTCCAATAAGTTACTCCACCTTTACCATGTCTGTGTTCAGACACACACTCGCACCGTCTCAGAAGAAAACCTAGATTAATTAAGACCAGGACTTGCTGCTTCGCTCCATCTATTCTGACAAAAACTCTCTATTTTCTCACTCACATTGCGTCAGAAACCCTATATCTACTATGTGTTGCCATCAATAGGTATGCATTTGTTTTTAGTATTTGATATGCTTCTCATCATTTATTTCTCCTTTTTATGGTTTATTTATTCGATTTATATTTTTTTTTATGTTTGTGTAGATTAACAATGGTATGAAAAGTTATTTTGGTGATGTTTTACTGTAGGTATGATTTGGAGTTTCATTATGGTTGTTGTTTTGATGGAGGTATGATTTGGAGTTTCATGATGGGTGTTGTTATGAAAAAGGTATGATTTTTGAGTTGGTTTCATTAAGGATTTTATGTATGTGACTATGCGTGATATTGGCATTATTGGCAATTATACTTTATGATTTTTCCTTCTTATGATTTTAAGGTGGAATTAGGGATTATATATCATGTTTTTTAATTGAGGAAATACTTTTGTGCCAACACTAAACATCTGAATGATTCTCATAGGTAACGAAAATTGATAATGTCATCCCAGCAAACAGAGCTTGCCTCCTCAATTAATCAATTTTTTGGAATATTGGTTATAAAATAGGAGATATGTGTGTGTGTGTGTGTTTTGGTTTGATTTTTTTATTGTAGGAATTATAAGCCAGAACCCACCAAAGATGAAAAGGTAAACATCTAAATAATTCCTTACTATCGTTTTTCACTGATTCGTTTGGTTTTTATTTTTTTATTTTCCATCCCTAATATCTATTTCACATATATCGAATGTTTTTTCTTATCATTATGTGTGTGTAAAGCCCAAAGGGTTCTATGATCCAGTTGTTCATCAATGGTTTCTGATATATGAAGTTTTAATTGCAGAATTGTGCTGAGAAGTGAGATGGAGTATTTCTCGGTTATGACTGTAGGAGAAAATTTTCTTACTTATGCATGGAATCTGTATTTTTTGTGAGAAATGGAAATTATCCCACCATGTGTGTGGTTCTAGAACTTGCTGAGATGGAGAAACTGGAATAAATAACTAGAAGATAATGGAATAGCAGTTGAGACATGAAAGCAAATTAATTTAACATGGTCAACACGTATAGCAGTTGAGACATGAGAGCTAATTAATTTCACAACTCTTTTATATAATGTAATTTGTTAATTGATTTCAATGAATGCAATGGGAACATCTAGAATATCAAGTCACATAGATATACTTTCTCATGTTTTGTATTTGTATGACATATGACTTAAATAATCAAGTTTCTTGGATTGACAAGGGCTAAGCATATTAAGTCAAGGGTTCATGCATTTGCATTTGTGAAGATGGTTGAGAAACTACTTTATGAGATGCCAGATGATGGATTCAAGGTCAAAACACAACATTTTATCATTTGATGGGGCAAGTGGCTGACCTCAGTGATGGAGGCGGAATAAGCATTTTTCCGACCTGAATCTCATGTGAGTTTGACTTCTTATCTCTTACATACCACTCCATCTATTTGGCTAAAATTTTGTTAATGATTTTTTTTTCAAAATTGTTCAATTTAACTAACTTTTCAAAGCCTATTAGGTGTTCGATGGAATGCTTAATATATGTTTTGTGTTGTTTGGCCTGAAATTTGGCGCTTCCACATTGCAATGTTACTGGTGGGGGGATTTTTCCATTAGTTTTGACCATTCTAACCCTGCTTAGGCTTTTATTTTGATTTTTCCATTGTTCAATTCAACCAAGTTTTCATCTATTTGTTAATACCTGATGCTTTCAGTTTTCATGGTTGTTGTTGAGTGAAATTTCCAATAGATTGGACCATTCTACCCTTATGGGTTGGATTTTTATGTATAGCCTTAAGTTCTTAGTTTGGTAGAAGCTTAATTGTCCTTTGTATGTCACTTTTTTCCTTTCTTTGATGTTGTTGCAGATTATTATGGTTTGGACCATGCTACCCTCATGTCTTTAGTCAATAAGTCTGTATATATCAATCTATCCAAGAGAAAGCTAACTATGTTTGCAAGGCAATGGTGAGTTTTTTTTTTTTTTGTTTTTGGTTTATCAACTTAAGTTCTTTTAAAAACTGCATTCTTATGATTTATTACTTTTGGGTAGTTCTTTTACAGTATGAGAATGATCAGGATGCAAGCAGTGGAGTAAAAACAAAGAAATTGGAGCGTTTTCTTGAAGAGACATTCCAACTGCAAAGATGCTTTATGATAACAGGACAGAAAGTTATTGAGATACATTCCAAGATTGTTTACGGTCTAGATGATGGATTTGGCATGAAGAGATTTGCTGGTTGTCCATATCAAAAGGAGACATTGAAGGCCCTCTTGCTTGGGATGGAATGATACATCATAGAAACTTAGCACTTTTTTTTGGTGTATTTTGTAGTTTTGTGGAATAGTGTTTTGCTTAATTTATACAGGAAAATAGCCAAAAGTGTTAGGAAAACAAACAAACTTTTGTTGAGTTGCAGAAAGTATCCCCTTTTATCATTACTAGGTTAAGATCATATTTTTTTAACATAAAAACCCATGTACTGGATTACACTTTTTTGAGAAAAATAACAACATGGTCATATTTTTTAACATAAAAATCCTTTTACATCATATATTAAAACTACCGGTGAGGTAGGAAACGATAATGTGCATATTGCAGTTGAAGATAATGTACAGAAGTTCTATATCTGATTTAATAGTCTGTTGTTACATGATTTCAGTCTATTCATCCTATAAGATTTTTTTTTTTGAATATCAAACACACACACACATCCTCTAATTGTATTCTTAAATTTACACATTTGGCCAAGATGAAATTTGCACCCTCATCATTTGGGAAGGGATATAACATGGACAACTTTACATCGTACAATTTCGTGAATACACAAATCATCGTTTTCAATAATGTGAGTATGGTATGTTGTTTGAATACAATATCATTTATTTTCGAGAGAACCTGTGCCATATATTGTTGTTTTTTGTTATTTCATCCCCTACACATATGGTAAAGTGATCTTCTATATTGGAAAATGAGAGTATGAGTCTTCTTTTTGTGATAATATAGACTGGAAATACAAAACAAAGAAAATGAGAGTTTCAGATGCAGAAAAGCAATTCAACATAGACTAAAAATAAAAACCTTGTTGAATATTACAAACGCACAACCCATCAAACCTGTCAAAGTTCCAGAAATGTTATGATTATTTGGAGCTAACATCTAAGTGATTAATTCAATTTGCAAGGAAGTGACACAAATGTATTTATCAGCCTTTGATGATTGTAAGAATTAAAAAATTAACAATATTTTGTAACTTGGTCAATACTAAACACAAATTTAAGTATATTAAGCTAACATAATTCAAAATATAGATAAACTTACTAAATGTCACATTCTCAAACATAAATTGATCCAAACACCTATCTAGAAACTATCCGTTGAAATGAACTATCCGACAGAAAACAGTCCCGCTAAAAGACCACAAGGAACTACTTCACACCTAAAGGAAACTGATCGTCGCATTGAAACTGATTGCCAAAACAAATTATTCGCACCCATCGCTTGGCGCGGGTAATCGACTAGTGTGTGTGTATATATATATATATATATATATATATATATATATATATATATATATATATATATATATATATATATATGTTCAGGTTCATTTGAGACTATGCTAATTTTGTGAGACCGTGAGACGCAATCTAAAAATAATTTTAAAATGCAAAATAAAAGGAAAAATCAAAAAATTCTTTTTTAATTATTATTTTCGTAGTTTTATTTACCTAAAATAAATAAATAAATAAATAATAAATAAAAATTACCGTTTTTTTTAAATACATGAAATATTCTAACAAAATATTACACTGTAAATATTTGAATATGATTTTTAGAATGTTAGAATATTCTAGTATTCTACTAGAATTGTCAGATATGTAAAATATTCTAATATTCTAGTAGAATATTCTAATATTATAATATTCTACTAGAATATGTAAAAAAACGGTAATTTTATTTATTTATTTATTTTTGGAAAATATAAATGACGAAAATAATATTTTAATATTTTTTTGAAAAATTTCAATTATTTTGTATTTTAAAAATGTTTTTTTATCTACAAAATGAGTGGCTAGGATCGGTGTCTCACGATCTCACAAAATTAGGCCGTCTCACATGAACCCAACACACACACACACACACTCACTCTCTCTCTCTCTCTCTCTCTCTATATATATATATATATATTATATATATATATATATATATATATATATTTCTTAAATAAAATATCCATTATACATTATTTAATTGTATATTTATATATTTAATGTTGAAGAGTTTGTTACACCTACACGGCTATTACTTATTATGTTTTTAAACCCTATAAGAGCGAGGTTTATTTTAAAGACAACGTAAAAAATTGTTAGGCTATAGCGACATGCTAAGACATGCCATATTAGATTTTTTCTTCCACCTAATATTTCGTCATAGAAAATATATACACTTAAATTATGGGAAAAAAATTAAAACAAAAATACAAATAAAAGATGACCAATCACAACCTTCTGATTTAAAAAAAAAACAAATACAAAATGACCGATAACAACCCACACCAAAGAATCTCTTCTTCTCTCTCTTCTTGCTGTTGAACCAGCGAGCTCCTCTCATCTCCTTTGCATGGTGTAGGGGTGGTGTTTTGCTCATGTTAAGCCTTTGGCGAGTGGGCTTGGCGCCCCACTTCCCATAGCCTTATGATAGATATATTCATTGAAAAAATTGTGATAATATATACATTTAAATCGAAAGTATTGAATCAATCATTTTAAATTCTTATCTTAAACGTTTTATTTAGATATTATCATTTTAAATGTGAAATTATATTTATATCATGATATAAAAGAAATCCCAAATAAATCGAAAAAATACAAGCAACACAAATATATATATTTCAAAAAAAAAATAAAATTGTTGCATTTGAACCATATTCGCATAGAATTATCCTTCAATGGGCCCAGTCAAAGTCCAATTTTAACGAAGCAGGGAGTTGAAGTGCTCCAGTCAGTGGTTCTCGACACTTGACGTTGACATTCGAAGCTCCGACGGCTGCCTTTCACAAACGCCGATCAACCTATCTCTGCTGCTGTAGGTTTTCATTTGGTCTGGTCTTCAATGGCAGCAATCAATTTACGGAATCCTGGAATCTCACCGGCACGAAAATCAGATGGCGACCGACGTCTTTCTTCGGTGAAGAACCTTAATGGATCACCACGAAGCTTTTATGAATCCATCAGTTTGAATCAGCAGCAACGTGTTCGGAAATCTGTTTCCTCGTTGGCGGTGAAGTCAATGAAGATCGTTGAACAGAGCCAGGAACCAGCCTTTTCTTCCAATGGTCCTATTTTCCCTGTAAAGCTCTCACTCTTCATATATCGTCTTAAATGGTTATTCGAATATTCGTCAATGTATATCCTGCTCGCATGTCTAATTTAGAGATTGAAACGTTCTTTTAGGTTTTTGAGTTTTTGAATCTAATCAGGTGTTTGGCATCGATTGATGCGCACTGGTCAATTTATCGTAAAGCTAGGAAACGATTGATTTTGACCTGTTAACATACTAAAGTGAAGAATCCATAAGATGCAATTACTTGTAGGTACTCAAATTTGAAATTGTTTCCTGCGTAGATAAGCTTTGTAATACACAATCAACGCAAGCTTTTGGTTTGCTATGATTTCTATACTTGATTAGCATATTGTGCAAGGAGCCTTAGCCAGAAGCAAAAAACTGTATATGATATATATGTTTGTAGAAAATCTATATCTACATCAAGCTCTTATATGATTGTAACTGTATATGATATCTGTTTTCACAAGTACTTAGGAAAACTTGGTTTCTTCTTTTGAGTTTCAGTCTAGTGACAGCAATTTGAGGCAACCTCAGATTTCTCTAGATGTTCAAAGGAAAACAAAGATAGTATGTACAATTGGTCCTTCAACAAGCTCACGTGAAATGATATGGAAGTTAGCAGAAACAGGGATGAATGTGGCACGACTTAACATGTCACATGGGGATCATGCATCACATCAGAAAACCATTGATATTGTCAAAGAATACAATGCTCAGTTCAATGAAAAAGTCATAGCTATAATGTTGGATACCAAGGTATGCATTTTGTTTTCATCTCTAAATTATTAAGCACAGAATCAAAGAGATGAAAAGTACATATAAATGTATTCCTTCTACTATTTTTCACATGAATCATGTTACTTCAGGGACCTGAGGTCAGAAGTGGAGATGTAGCTAAACCAATTCTCCTTCATGAAGGGCAAGAATTCAATTTCACCATTAAAAGAGGAGTTAGCACAAATGACACTGTTAGTGTAAATTATGATGGCTTTATAAATGATGTTGAACCTGGTGACATACTATTGGTTGATGGTAAGATTACCTCATTAACACTTCTAAAAAACCTACAAGTGACAAAATTTGTAAAATGTTATATAGATATTTCATTGTGTAAAAGTACTTTTGTTTTTCTTGAAGGGGGGATGATGTCATTGGGTGTTAAATCCAAGACTGGAGATTTAGTAAAATGTAAAGTAATTGATGGTGGAGAATTGAAATCAAGGAGACATCTCAATGTGCGTGGAAAAAGTGCAACTTTGCCTTCAATAACAGGTTTACTTTCATCCTTTTTTACAATTACTTTAAAATTATTTGTTACTTTGATTGAATGATGAATTTGATTCCATTTACAGATAAAGATTGGGAAGATATAAAGTTTGGAGTGGACAACCAAGTTGATTTCTATGCTGTTTCCTTTGTGAAGGATGCTGAAGTGGTTCATGAGCTGAAAGATTATCTGAAAAGTAAGGTGTCTTTGTAAATTATAAAATATTATTTCCATTCTTTTTATTTTAACTAAGCTTCTACAAAATGTATTATTCTGTAGGATGCAATGCAGATATCCAAGTGATTGTAAAAATTGAAAGTGCAGACTCAATAGTCAATCTTCCTTCCATACTTTCTGCATCTGATGGGGTTAGCATTTCAATTTCAGTGATTTATATTCTCGTTATGATTATAATATTATTATTAAACTTTAATTATTTATGTATTAAGGCAATGGTTGCACGTGGTGACCTTGGAGCAGAGCTTCCAATTGAAGAAGTTCCTTTGTTGCAGGTAAAGTTAAATTATTAAATATTAATAACCTTGAATATTTGTTGCTAAATTTACATAATTTTATAATTGATTGTTTAATAAATAGGAAGATATTATTAGAAGGTGTCAAAACTTGCAAAAACCAGTTATAGTAGCAACAAACATGTTAGAAAGCATGATTGATCACCCAACTCCAACAAGAGCTGAAGTTTCTGACATTGCAATAGCAGTAAAACAAGGTGCTGATGCTATCATGCTTTCAGGTGAAACTGCTCATGGAAAGTAAGTTTTAGTTTTATGAATTTAATCAATTTATTAATTATCTGTTATTTACTAAATCATATTTCAAAATGTTAAAATTCAATTCAAACTTATCTCAGTTTTCCACTAAAAGCTGTGAAAGTTATGCACACTGTGGCATTAAGAATCGAGTCAAGTTCGCGAGTCAACTCGAACTCGGTTTCTCTTTCTCGTCACTTGGCTTACAAGGTATAAATGAATATTTGAAATTTGTTTTTTTTGGAATGCAAGGGTAAAATGGTCATTAACTTTTGTAGAGCCATATGGGTGAAATATTTGCCTTCCATGCTGCAACAATAGCCAACACTGTTGCTACTCCTATCATTGTCTTCACAAGAACAGGATCAATGGCTGTGATTTTAAGCCATTTTCGCCCTTTCTCAACTATCTTTGCCTTCACAAATGAGTGAGTCCACATTTTCATCTTTCTATAAAATTGAATCACATTGCTATTTAACCCTAAAAAAATCATAAATTTGTGCAGAAAAAGAGTTAAGCAGAGATTGATTCTTTATCATGGTGTGATGCCAATTTATATGGAGTTTTCTGATGATGCTGAGGAGACTTTTTCAAGAGCCCTTAATATTTTAGTGGTAAGTAAAGTAATTACAACGGTGGTCCCTATAGTTTCATTTTCTTGCAAGTCTGGTCCCTTAACTTTTTTTAAAAGACAAAGACAATGTGCAAACTAGTAATTCCAGAAATTAGTGGGGTAGTCTATAACTTTTTTTGTGTAGCTTTCAGTATTTTGTTTTTGATAAAATAAAATAAAAAATAAAAAATTATTCTTTTTTCATTTTATCAGGATAAGAAGTTAGTGAAGGAAGGGCAGTATGTTACGCTTGTTCAAAGTGGAGCACAACCAATTTGGCGTCAAGAGTCTACTCACCACATACAAGTTCGTATGGTTCAAGGTTGATTTTTTCATACAAAGTAACTCTTTATACAAAAAAAGGGTGACAAGGGTATTTATGTCTTTTTAACAAACAAGAAACTGGTCCCACCTTTTTGTCTCAATGCCAACTTTCTGGAAATGTCAATTTGTTTCGAGCTCAAAATTTTCTTCTTTTGTTTTTTGTAACTGTATATTACATGTAAGAAATGTATGGTGCTCCTATTAATATATGCATATATACTACAATGTTCATTTTTGTATGTAGATGATATTAGTGTAAAAAGGTCTGTATGGATAAAAATATAGGTTCTGTCTAGATTAAATGTTAATGGAAAAAAAAGAACAAATTTTTCTATGGTTTACCAAATAATAACTTAAACATGAAATTCTCATTAACTCAAATAAATATACGTTATTTTAGAACAATTTTGTTGACTAATAATATCTGAAATTACAGATCCTGTCTAAATTTCTTAATAAAAATTGGCTCAATAATTTGGTAATATAAAATTCACAATTGGCAATCTAATATTTTAGTATTTGCAGTTAATATATATATATATATATATATATATATATATATATATATATATATATATATATATATATATAGTTATAAACAACAAAAGTACAAAATTTAGGAGGCCAACTTGTTGGACTGCTCATTTAGAGCTGTCAAGTCGAAGTTACCTCTAGAAGATTGAAAGAATGTGATTATAAAACATTATTTTTTTTTAAAAAGGATAATGACAAAAAATACCAATAACTTTTGTAGAAATTTGTGAATTTACTTGATTTTAGGTTTATCAAACCGGATGTTTGTAATTTTTTTTTAATTTTATATTTTTTTTAATTTTGGTTTATTAAAGTCTTACATTTGACGGGGATGTTTGGTTTTATATTTTTTTTGGTTCATAAAACCCTTAAGTTTGGTATTTTGGTTCATTAAAGTCCTTAAGTTTGATAGAAATGTTCGATTTTACCACTTAAATATGCAAAAATGTAAAATTGAAAAAAAAAATTGTAAAAATCTGGTTTTAATGAACCTAAAACCCAAAAAAGAGTAATTTCGTAAATTTTTGCCAAACATAAAGGTTTTAATGTCATTATCCTTTAAAAAAAACCTTTGAGATTTAGAACTCAATATAAGTATATGATTGAAAGATTGTGATTATCAAATCTATATGATTAAAGGGTTTAACTAAACTAACTATTAGAAAATGACCAAGTTTTTTGTGTATCATGAAAATGATAATATCCGAAATTGGTATTTCGAAATGTATATCACCATTTTTCAACCATATGTCACATTTTAAGTCATTTTACTGTATCTAATTTCCATTAGTTATGCTTCTTTAAAATTTTGTTAGATCTAAGTAAAAAGAATCATTTTCTTGAATTTCCGAAATTGTTCATAAAATTTCAGGCTTAAAATTCTTGAATATGTTTTTTTCCCTCTCTGTAATCTGGAACGGTTTGGAATGTCAATATGAAATGTAATTTTTTTTCAAAAAATACTTTAATATGACATAAATTTAGTCTGAAACAAGAAATGGTCATTTTCCCAAAACAAAAAAAGACATGGTCATTTTTGTCGATAAGAGTATTCCTAATGATTAGTTTAGTTAATATCCTAAAATTAAAACATTGGTAATAAACAATTTTATTAAAAAAGGGGTCAAGTAGAATACATACCTAATGGTTAGTTTAGTTAATATCCCAAGATTAAAAAATTGGTAATAACCAATTTTATTAAAAAAAGGGTTAAGTAGAATAGATATATTTTCTAAGAGTAAGTTACACGAGACGTTCATCGTTCAAATGTCAAAATGCACGTTCAGTTTTTATTTTTTAAATTTAACTTGAATAATTTCTCATTTGTTATAAACTTGCACGCTTTAACCCCCGTTAGTTATTTAAAACACTTATTTAACAGAATACGTTGCGGAAGACTTATTATGATTGTTTCAGAAACATCACCAATGTTACTTTCATGTCAAAATAAACTCATCATAATATAAAGTTCATAAAAACATGATGATGAAAACCCAACATGTCCAAATGGTATCATAACTAAAGATACTAAATTATACTACCCAAAGATTCCCATCCTCACCAAGGCATCATGTCAAGCTACCTGTTCTATTCCACAGAAACCAACAAGCAAAGAACAAGTGTTAGCATAAGCTAAATGAGTCAATATAGTACAGTGTTAAGAGAACACTCATATCATAGATGGATTCACACAAAACATCCACACACAGTCAATGACTCACTAGCAATACATACAACATCACACCACATAACAAACACATGTTTAGCTCAATTTATTTTAGTTCTTCAGTTAGAGCTTGTTATATTAGTTACTCTCCTCAACGCCATTGTAACTAATTTAATCTCACCGCTTAAATATTAATATATAATATTTTGTTTCTCCGCTTTACATTAATAATCACTCACCGCTCATCGTTGTAATTATTAAAGTATTACCTCCTAGTTAGGGTCTATTTATTCACCGCAAAAACCTCCCCAAAGCTAGACCCCGTTCGCTACTAACGTGACCGGCACGACCCAATGCACTAAGTGAGGCGCGACTCTCATCCGTAATCATTGCCCCCGGCGCACTGCGTTCGCTACTCCGACGGTGCACATACGTATACATGCGTTGTCGTTCAGGATTGGTACGAACGGTGCCAATTCCAACAGATACACCTCCCAAATCCCACGTGATGTTTGCGCTGGTCCCACCGCTTGACCAACATCACTCCAGCCCCGGTATACCAAGGTGTACCAAGACCATGTCCCGAGTGGTTGTCTAGAAAAGCCAGTCGGCGTCAAAGTTGGCTTAAGCGCTTTTTCCTATAGGTATCTTTCAACCCATTAGGCCATCATAATATCCGGATTGGGTATATACCTAGGTCTAGGTTTCTACCCTTCGCCCCGCTAGTGTGTTCCCCTTTTTAATTTAACAATGATTAATTAATTAAGGAGTTACACTTTACCCTTTCAAGTAACCATGTAATTATTACGAATATTCTTTTATTAACATATTACCTCTTTAAGGGTTATTTTCATGCAAACATGTAATTTCATGAAGTTATTACATTTTACATCACACACTATTTCCATACACAATACACCAATGAAGTTGATACAACACTAGCATGCTTGTCCTAAAACATTTTAAACAAATATTCTCAAACAAAAATTAACATGCTCACATCACATAATGTTCATTCACTTCACTCAATCTAGCATGACCCTAACTCAAATCTCACACCAAACAAGGAAGAGTCTAGCATGCAACACCCTAGATATCATTACACATAAAACATTTCAACAATATTTGCATAACAACCAATCATCAAAAGGGCACATGCATCCTAGATAACTAGGTTCATCCCAATCCATCTAAGATATGGGATACTCCTAACAATGTACTTTTAAAACCACAAGTTGACTCACCTTTGCCAAAAATATGACCAACTCACACTTCAAATATTGTATTGGTTGAAGTATCACCCTTGCCCCTATTGCATTTCAAATAACAAGGTTATTGGAGTTCTACAATGCCAAAGATGACAAGTTTATAAGCCAAACACATAAATCAACTAGCAAGTAAAACTCCCAGTTTTGAACCCAAAACAGCCACCTGTTTAGAGCTAGTTTAGCAAACTTAGAACCTGTATAACTTTCGTTTTTATTTCATATTACAGAAGTTAAGACTTTTAGCTTTTCAGAATGTACTTTTGAAGGTCCAAACGATTTTTCTACAATTTTATATGATTTTTACAAATCTGCCTATCAATGCAGCTAAATTCTGACCAGCTGGTGAAAAAGGCGATTTTCACCTAAGTTAGAAGCAACAACAGGTTCTGGAAAAATTCATGGATAAACTAGACTCAAAATGGAAACTTTAAGAGTTTACAAATCATTAATTCGATTCCTGATTATTTTTCTATAATTTTTCCAACACAGGGACAGATTGGTAATTCTTGCTGAATTTTCCAGCTTTGGGTTTCAAGGCTTTTTGACCACTTAACACATTAAGCCATCACTAAAAACACCTATAAGGGTAAAAATTAACTTCTTAACAGAAATAGCATGATTTAATCACATAAACATATCCATTTGATTCATGGTGGAATTTAACATAAGTTTTAGAAATCAACAAGAAGAATTGTGACTCCAAAACTTTGATCAAAACATAAACTTGAGCAATAAACTTAATGAAGGTGTTCACAAGAAATTTTGACAGCAATTGAGCCATCATAAACACCCAATAAAAGTGAAATTGAACCATATGAACCTTCAAGGTTTCTAGGAAGAAGAAGATGAGATTGAAACCACCAATTAGAAAAAGAATTGACCACAACAATTATCAATTAACAAGGAATTGATAAATTAACACCACAAAGAGATTAGAATATGATTTTACCAATTCTTGGCCAAAAACACAGCCCTCTTCCTCCCCTCTAGGATCGATCAAACAAGACCTCTTCTTCCTCCCTCCTTCCCCTTTGCTCACCAATCCTTCCTTCCTCCACAATTCGTTCGATTTGTTTTTTTTTTCTTCTTCTTCTTGCTGTCGATGTCGCACAAACACACAAAGGAGGTTTGGGTTTTTTTTATGTGTTCATATATGGAGAAGGAAAAAGAACGCACGATTAGTTTTTCTTAACGTTACCCTAATTAATGAACATAAATGCTTAACCCCAAGAAAGAAACGGACGAATTGCGCATTCAATGAAATCAATTACATTCGTTTTAATTGATTTTGATTGGATTTATAATTGCATTTACATCTTTGATCCCTATAATTTTCTTATAATTACTCTTTGAACCCCAAACGTAAAAACACCAATTCCTCCACTTTCAAGAATAACGATTCACCCCCCTTGACTTTATTTGTTATATTAAAAGGATTTTATCTATCCTAACTATACCCACAATTTAATTAATTAACTTTTATACCTTTTAATTATTAGCTAATATTTTACTTATTAATTAACGACCTTTTTATTTAATTTACATCATTTTACAATCTTAAAGTTGAAACAACTAATATTCGACTAACGAAAAACTAACTTCGTTAACGGACGGAATTTCGGGTCGTTACAATTCTTCCCTCCTTAAAATGATTCCGTCCTCGGAATCAAATACCGTTATGAACAACATAGAGTAACAAATCGTCACGCCTTTATCAACTACCTAGGTCACTTCTGACTCGTACC